TTAAAAAATCATTAAAAGTTTTACACAGATTCCGTAACCCATTAATGCGATCTAATTCATTTTACTTAATGAATGGATATAAGTTCAAAAATAAATAAGGTCTCACTGCAGCAAATAGCTTAAAATTATCTTTTACCGTCTGGTGGTTTTACAGCTTTTGTGCAAAGATGAAAATCCTGTGAAAAACTGACGTACGTCAGCGGAAGTACGGGCAGGTTGATGAAATGCTTTCTGAAAAAGTAGACTCATTTTAATATTATAATGGCTCCTTGACGAAAAGACAGACTTAGTTGTCAGTGTTGGTCGGCTTTCGCCTCGAGTAGCTTTCTTTTAAAATCAGCAATTTTTTTAATACTACGAGTTTTTTAGAATAGACCTCGCTATTAAACTAGGTTTTATCGAGCGCCTTATTTTTATCTACTAATCGGGTATTTTAATGTTATTGATGTTTTCGTCAAACATGCTTATTTCGAAATAACGTGTTTAATATTCATTTAGTGTTATTCTTAAGATTACTATTATTTATTTTGTCATATTTGTATATTTTCGGACTAATCTTGCCATTCCATTTACATTCTAAGTATCAATTAGTTATGGTTTTAATGGTGCTTTCAGCTCTTTGATAAATCAAGCTCATGTTCTGAATTTTAAAATATTGTTTTTTTTTTAAATACGAATTCTTTTAAAAAAAAAAAATAGCAGTTTTTTCATCCTTTAGATGTTCTCACTAGATTTTTTCTTTAACCAGTTATTGTTTTCGTATTATATTTGTATTCGTGTTGGTCGTTTTACTTATAGAAGACTTGCATATCTTGACCTTTTGTGGTGCCGAAAGTCTATAAAACAGACAGTTAAAGTTAAATTTGTCACAGAAAACTTAATAAATATCTAGCAAAACTATGGAAAAGAGATCTCCAGTTATTTTGCAAACAAAAGAAAACCAGTGTGCTTTAGACCACACGACTGAAGTAAAACTTCTTGGCTACGAGAGAAAGAGGGAAAGAAAATGTGTGCTCGCACCTCTCTCTCTTGCCCGTACAGCAATATACGAAACGTAACACTCTATCTTTTTCTCTTTACTATCTTATTTTTTTCTCTCAACTTCCGTTCGCCTCGCCCATCACACTTTTCGTAACGCTCTCATCACGCATTCGCATTCACAAATCACAAAAATAAATGTCGTCCGTTGGAGCAAGGTCTGGCGAGTACGGAGGATGACGTATGGTTTTTAACTGCAACTCCTATAGAGTTACAACGGTGTCTCGTGCAGTATGAGGTCTTGCGTTATCATAAAGCAATAATAGTGAAGAGCGATTAACGAGTCGGGGTTTTGCACTGCCACAGTAAACATCTGTAATTGCCTGACCAGACCTGAGAAAGCTATAGTGAATAGCACCATGAAGAGACCATCAAACAGTTACCATTACCTTTTTTTGGTAAGCTTTGCTTTAGGTTACTGTTGCGGTGTTTAAGGTAGGGTCAGCCATTACATTTTTTGCTTACGGTTATGCAAAACATGAGGTACCTATTTTTCATATTTTTTTTATCTTATTGATTTGATGCAAATGAGTCAATATTGTAGGTAGGGTAACGTTAGACCATGCCGCTAATTCCTGGGTAGTTTGACTTGGATCGGCTTCCACCATCTCCTTCTATTTAGCGTTATTCACCTGTGAGGACAGTCTTCCACGATGTTCGTTCTTCAAGTCGAAGTTTCTATTACGAAAGAGTTTAAACCAAAAACGCCGTTTCTGCCTCGTTAGTTCCTCTTCAGAACATCTTTCACGTCTAAGCTGAATAAAAATAAGTCGAAAATCAAATGTTGCACATTTTTTAAAAGAAGAACTTAATAGGTATCATTTGAAAAAAGTTTCACACGAAAATCTCACACCATGAAGGTTTTATGTCAATTCATTGTATCTACTACTATACAATGGCAATTTCATACTTTGACTCCTATTATTATTTTTCCGTAATAATGTATAAAATTCCATAAATGATTATATACTTAAGTAATCAGAGAATTTACATACAGTATTCGGATAAGCGTTTAAATTGGAGACTTAGTAAATGAAATTTATACACCGTGAAATTGTAATAATCCTATAAAAACAGCCCTCTTAATATCTAACGTCTACAAACAGAAGTACAGAAATATTTTCTTTCATTTAATAACATTCGATGCGTTACACTAAATAATAGTAGCATGTTTCGTTTATAAATTATACGCTCAAGAAATTAATGAATCTTTAATTTAATACATAAAAAGGCTTTAAAATCCTCTCTGGGCCTTTTTCAGGGTACACTTATCCCGACTCAATTCATTTAAATGAAAAACTGACCTGACCATTAATCATTTCAATATCAATGTGATTTTAGGCTCAGCTTCATTAAAACTTCGTGTTTGAACAATTTCCACTTGTTCAGGAACAATTTACATATTTCCTGTGTGTGTAACAATAAAAGCTAAAAGCGAAATTAATGGACGGCGCTAACAGTATAGAACTATTATAAAATTTTTGGGTGTATGTGCTTCAATTTAACAGAAACTAGTAAAGCCATTGGTTTCAACGCTCTCTAAAGTGAAACTAAGTGTGACTTGTATAACTTGGCTTGTGTAAACATGTATAAATAAACGTAAATATAAATTGCCGTGTGGTGACCGATTAAGAATACAGAGTGTCACCACCCCTATTCATCCTGTGGGTGTCGTAAGAACCGACTAAGGGAAAAAACTACGCGGAACAACAGCACTGTAGAGAGATGGAAAACTGGACACAAACTCTATACCAACCCGTCAAGCGTGGTATAGTAGGCCAAAACCTCCTTTCTAAGGAGAGACTTATGTCCAGCAGTGGACTATTAAAGGCTGTTGATGTGATATATTTATATGGTAAATACAGTATTAGATTAGTTCAAAAATACTAGTCTAGCGGCCATTCATATGCACCAGATATGATTATTGTGATGAATCTGATTGGTTTTTTCATGTCTCTGGAGCGTGTCTAGTCGTTTAAGCGACAAATCTGAAGAGTTATTAAAGTTTCAGCCATGTGTCATGTTATTTACTGACTGTTGATCTAGAGGTTAGTGTTCTTGACTGCAAGGCCCGAGGTCGTGAGTTCGATTTCCACCCAGGACAAGCCATTTTGTGATGAGCACGATCATTTGTTTTGTGTCTGAGTGTAACTTATGTATAATCTGTGTATATTTATTTATTTATATTTATATGTAAAAACTTTAAGTTTTGGTCTATTAATATAAATGAGTTAAGGTCAGGTTCTTTCTAACAGTTTTACTGTTTATAAGATAAAAATATATATTACTTTGAAGCGTATGTTGAGTTCACTATAATGTTTTATTGTCAACTAGCTGGTTCCCTGCTAGCTACTAATACAACTGCTGGTATTTTTTTAGGGGTTTTCTAAGAATAAAAATAGCCCAAGTTACTCCTTATATTGACAGCTACCTGGTTGTAAAATATTATCAAAATAGGTCCGCCGTCTTTTTTTTATGGAATAGGGGGCAAACGTAGATTTCCCAAAGAGACAGAAAGAGAGACAAAAAATATTTAAACTGATTTTAGGCATAGTTATCGTGCAAATAAGCGTGTGAGCATGAAAAAACTTATTATCATGACATTACATACAGACACATACATTTTATTTATTTATGTAGAATGGATAACTACGAGTAAGACTATTCACATCTATAAAATATATACAAATATTTTTTATCTGTCTGTCTGTTTCTTCTGGATAATCTTCAAAATGTCTGCACCGATTTTGTTAATATTTTACTACCAAGTAGCTGTCTATATAAGGAGTAATTTAGGCTATTTTTTCATTCGGAAAAATCCTTTAAAGTAAAGTCGCGGGTGCCGGTTAGTAATTCATAAAATAAGTCATATCGTAAATTATTTTAAGAATTAAAAAAGGGACTTTTACCCACAGAATTACTTTTAAAATGCCTGCTCAACGAGTTTCTATAGAGTTGAGATTTTTTATGGCGGGATTAGAACCCATTGTTTTTCGGCTATTAACCAAACAACGACTGATGATGCGATGATAAATTGTTCTGTTAATTTCAAACATCACTAATAATATATATATTATATTATTTTAACCACTAAAGTATATTGGCATATACGACTATATCTTAGAAATGAAATTAAGCTCCCGTGTCACATTCCGAAAACACAGCCCCCGCATAACACAATTAATTAGTTACCTAATAGAGCCTCCTTTGAGTTGTCATAGTGTATTATTATTACTAATCTCCGGTTGTTATTCTATCCTTATCCAGAAACAAAGAGGTTTGTCTATGATAAAGAGGATGATATAAGCGCGTTGTCACGGTTACGACCAGGATTACAAAAAATACCAATAAACGGAACATGTAAAGGGTCTGCTTATATAGTTCTAAAGAGTTTTCATTTTTTTTATTTGATGTACGTAATACAAAGTAATTTAAAAAATAGAGATTACAAAAAAATAATATAAGGAGACTTTTATTCTGTGAACTGAATAATGTAGAAAGTCATCTTTATAAAACACTTTTAATCCAGAATGAAGAATACGCCTGTGTCAGCTGCTACTGTTGCAAGAGTTTTTATATTTAAAATACCAAATTATTTCGAAACAATTGTTCTCAATGTAATGAAAACAATTGGTTTATTGATAGCGTACTATGGTACATATCTTTCTTGATTATTATTGTTTAAATTAAATGTTGAAATTATATAAATTATAAAGTAGCAGCGGTGATAATGACTTGAAAGATGTACTACCTACCTACCCTGAGTTGGGATATATAATCTATATGTAGTTGAAATTACAGTTCGTTACTAGAACTACATAGATTATGGGCATAGTAAATCAAAACTGGTAGTTCTAAACACCTGGTCGAGCTCGTGGTTTCGTAAAACAAATCCTTCTTGATTTAATGCATTCGCTTTCCCAGTTAGAATTTTAGATTAACGAGTGTTTTCTTCAATACAGCTGACGGAGTCCTCTCAACAGTGAACGTAGTAGAAGCACTTCAGGAGTTTTGGCAGGTGAAGGCAGCACGCGGAGGGGGTGCGGCAGGGGGAGCTCTCGTCATTTATGAATCAGTACCGGCTGCACACCCGCCATATGTGTGTTATGTGACGCTGCCAGGCGGAGCGTGTTTTGGCAGTTTTCAGGTAACGAATCTTATAAACACGCAGAGAAAGTTTAATAATGTTATAGATACTGACTAACGGTTAACATAAGGCGCTGTTCTAGACATATCCTGCACTAGTTGCAATTCCTGTGGCTGTTTTTAGACATCCCAAAAACATACACAAAGACCACAAAGTCACAGAAATTTATGTTGTATTCGAACCTGAATACAACATAATAACCAAGTCCGCGTCTTATCATATCAAATATTTGCATTTTGCATCAACGTTTAACATTTTTTTAAATATTCTATGAAAAGTTCTCAGCTAATAGTTAGCTTCATGAATAAAACGATTAAGTAACTGTCGGAAAACTCAACTTGAATGAACAAAGATGGCACTGCACTTCGTATGCAACATCACACGGTCCGGAGTCACGTACTCTCACAGCAAAGTTAGGCGTTATATGAACAGCGGAACTTTGGAGTGCAAGCAAATCTAACAGTGTCCGGGGCTTTGTGTTTATAAGTTAAATCATTACGTTGAAATTGAGGGTTTTCATTCTTAACTTTAATAAATAAACTTTTTTGTCCAGAATTGTCCAACAAAGGCAGAGGCTCGTCGCAGTGCTGCGAAGATAGCCCTGATGAACAGCGTGTTCAATGAGCACGAATCGCGACGTATTTCGGAGCATTTCATAGAAAAGGCAGTAGCAGAAGCACGTGCTTCATTCGCAGGTGATGCTGCCGCGCATCACCAGGATCCTAGCGCTGGGATAGCTGCCTTCAGGTTAATATTTGTTGTTGTTGATTTATGCAAAACAAAAGGACTCATTTCAGAATTAATTTTTAAACTTAGTTATCTATAGCAGAATTTCCAATATTTCTATTCTAGGGAACAGATTACTTTCCATCCTATCGTATCATTAAGCTTATGAATGTGCTTTCATACAGATTTATGCTGGAAACAAACAAGGGTCGGACAATGCTGGAGTTCCAGGAGCTGATGACTGTGTTCCAGTTACTGCACTGGAACGGCTCACTGCGCGCGATGCGTGAGCAGCAGTGCTCAAGACAAGAGGTGGTTGCACACTACTCCGCTCGGGCATTGGACGATGTCATGCGCGAGCAGATGGCGCGGGAATGGGCCGCGAGGGAAAGAGACGCGGCTAGTGCAGGCGGTGGTGTTCTCCGAGCCGAACTTGCCAGAGCTGAGCGCGAGCTTAGGGCTGCCCGGCTTGCCGCAAGGGAACTACGTTTCCCAAAGGAGAAACGTGACATTCTGCACATGGCCGCGCGCCTTGCCCCGCCCCCGCAGCAACAGTGATCTCATCGCACCGCAACATGCGTCCTCGCCACATACACACTTTGTTATTTAAGTATAGGTATATAGTCTAAGTGTATACGTGTTTTATTTTGCGCTATCCCCTATTTCCTCTAAAAGATTGCTCCGTGATAATGGAACAAGTAATTTTACTTAGAATGAAAAATAACTACAATTCCTTATTATCAGTAAGTTCTGCTAAAGCAATAACTAACAATAGTTTCTAACTAACAATTGGTTTAACTGTTATCAAGTTCAAGAATACGTAAGTTTTCAAGTTCAATATTTTCAGTTGTTGAGTCTAAAATTATAAATGAGACTTAATTAGTGGATCCAGGATGGTAACGAGCCTCCTTTAGTTACCGAAGTCTTAATTATAAGCATCTTTATCACGTCAAAGGCATAGAAAAAGAGTGAATTAGTGAATATACCTACAGTAGCCGCATATGATATGTAACAACTGATATCTCATCAACCATCTTACTTCTAACCCTAGCTCTTACATATTATTCATAAATCATTCGGATCAATGCAAAAACTTATACAATATTCAAGATACGAAGACATAATAACTATTTGGGCAATTAAGGATGTCAATATCGGTCAGGAATTGTCAGGAATTTCAGAGGTAACCTTTGAATTACCTGAAGTTTCGACCATAGTCACAGGCATACTGGCTCACAGTTGATCACATTAATTCTCTAAGTAATAATTGTAAATCATTGGGCCACATGGGTCGCCTGCAATAATCGTCATCCGCGATAGAACAGCACCAGTAAAAAGCTAATATAAAATAAACCCGAGATATATTAATAAGGGCACTCACACGTACTTTTACAGATGAACATGAGCGGGCCCGAGCGGGCTAATATGGCTGCTGCGCGGCGCATCGGCTCGATTAAACGATAATCGTTTTAGACGCATGAACGCATTAATGAATTACGAGTATTCTCTGTAATGACCACAATTCGAAATACTAGGTAATTTTCATTTATCGAAAGATATTTGCAATTTAGTTCTATCTGCATTTTGTTATACTATTTACGTTCTGTATTAAACGAATTTTGATCGAGACGGGAAAGGAAATTTGAATCGAGTTTAATAGCTAAATTTTATAACAATACTATAACAATAACTATAGTACTCGTAATATGTAACAGAAGTTTAAAAAGTAATTACAACTTTTCTAATGTCATTTGGTGTGATAACGTACTTAATAAGATATTCATTCTATTGTGCCTCGGTTGCGCAGTGGTAGCATATACGACTGCTGTGCTAAGGTCTCGAGTTCGATTCCCGGGTCGGACCAAATTTTATATGATCTGCAAATATTTGTTTCGGAGTTTGGGTGTTTTCTATGTATAATATGTACGTATTTACAAAAAAAGTAAATAAGTATTCTATCAGTCAATCTAGCTTTCATAGTACAAGCTCTGCTTAGTTTGATACCTGATGGCGTTGTATGTCAGATGTCCGAAAATATTAAAAATACTTATTCTATAAATATAAAGAAACAGAATAGTAAGTTAGTTTAGGCACTGGACAATCGAAAATTATCAGTCCATAAATTTGCATTTCTTTATGGTATAAGAGCGCAAACGAGCAGACATGTTACCTGATGGTAAGGAAGCACCGCCGCCTATTGACACCTACTACTCAAGAGTCAGCTGTGTGGCCGCCCTCTTATTCCTACCCCCAAAATCAAGGGGTTTGGTCAACCTCACTTACGGTGAATAGCAATAAAAAAATTGCGTACTTAATTTGTAAAGTTTTGATATTGATTTGGATCGAAGTAATCACGTCAATTTATTTTCGTTAATAAGAATTATATACATTTACTCAAGACAAGTGTCTATTGGTGTGTGAACCACACGAATTCCTTCTAGTGAGGTAGACTAGTGACAATTTAAATTACTACATTTTTAATGAAAAACTGTAGGTTAGGTACAATTATGTTTGAAATTCTCACGCCATGTCTGAATGATATCGTGATCAACATTTAATTTTATCATTAAATAATTAATTTTAGAAAAGAAAAACAACGAAAATGCTAAGATATCGCTTCACATACACAAAAAAAGAAATAATGAAGAACCCTTTTTTTAAGATCAATTTTAAAAATAAATAGTTTAATATAAAAGCAGAAGATAATTCCCAGATTATATAAAGTATGAGTAACTCGGCTTTTCTGTGAGTTCATGGTAACACTCCGGTCGAGCCTGGCCCATATGTACCACGGTTATGTACCACATACAAAATTTTAATAAAAAAAAAGAGTTCATTTCAAACTATTAAAAATGTGGAAAACAAGCTGCCATGGCACTACGTCTTGTAGTCCACATTTTTTGAAAATTTACCAATATTGTATTCCTCCCTTGTATTTTGTTTAAAAATTATTAGGCATGGGTTTTTCGTTTTTTGTAACGGCCGAGAATACAAATGTACAAAGAAAAAGTTCTTTCAGAATAGGCTTTATATAAGAATTTTATTGTTTTATATCCATCAGTTGTATGGATAGTTACTCATTTTAAACTTGCGAAATTGGTATAAGCTATGGTTTTAACACCCACGTAAGTTCCTGATGAATAAGCAGCATGGTGTCTACCGTTTTATTAAGTTGTCTTCTTCCTTTATTCATTATACAGACCAGGGTATTGAGGTATTAGACAGACCGTCAGCCATGAAAGAAACCAGTAAATAATTATTTGTAAAATTAAACATTGTGGCAAATAGTAGACATAGTATTATACCATGAAACACAGCACACTTTTCTATTAATATAATAAAGCTGAACAGTTTGTTTCTCTGAACACACTATCTCAGAAACTACTGATGCGAAATGAAAAATTCTTTTAGTGTTGCATAACCCGTTAATTGAGGAAGGCTATAAGTTCTATAACATCACGCTAAGGCCAATAAGTGGCGATCATCAATGAAAAATATTGCAAAAATGGGGAAAAACTAATTCCTTTTTAGAGACGTAGGTAAACAAAGTTGCGCGTGTCAGCTAGTAACTAATAATATCACGGACATTATACTTCATGGTGGCCGTGGAACAAAATGTATATTACAATGATGAATAAAAATGAATTTAACAAATAGTTCTTTTCTTGGTTTCACATGATATATAAGAGGAAGACTTTAAATAACTGCCTGCTTTGTTAACCGATAGAATATAAATCGAGTAAGTGAATACTCTAATACAAGCATCATGACATCGAAGCGATAAAATCGGAAAACTAATGTTTGATTGCGGTCCGCCTCCGATCTTCCCAAACAAAAGTGAGTATATTGTCGAGACGTGTATGACATACGTAATATCCAATTCTGTGGGCGGTATGTGAGTATTACGCGTATCTGATCTAATACTCAATGCATATAGTCCTCGTAATGGTAATCGTTACGGTGCCGCAACCGTCACGTAAAGCCAGTGATGCGCAATGACGGCAAAATGGACATTAGTGAATGGTTGGAAGACCTGACTGCTGGTAATTGAAAAAGTTATACAATTGTACGTATGGGTAGTGATGTTCCTTTTATGGATACGAGTTGATTTTTATAGGATGATAGTTAGCTTATTATTTGTAGAATAATAATAATAGGTAGGTAGTTATTTTAATATGGCTTCAAGCTTGTAGCTAGCGTATACAGTTTGTATTAGTATGTTATTAAAATCTAGCCAAATGCGTGTCAAGACACGCGCTGTTCTAATACCAGTTTGAAATATTTACAGCAACTAGTCTAAGTTATTTTCTTCTTTCTTACGACAATACGAACACGAATAGGTACAACATTTCACACCGCGAATACCTCGTACGAATATGTCGTACAGTAAATTTGAATAATAACTCAATATTCCCACATAATAACCTCTATAACCTACCACATATATACCTCTTAAACACTTAATAAAAATGTCATTTTATAAAAAAATCTTAGAAATACTCTATTAAATGTAGAAAGGTTCATGTTTTCCGAAAACAATTTGCGAATAGTTGTCCTAAAACTACATATAAAGCGACAAAATTACTTACTGTGATGTGATAGAGGGCTACGAACAATGTGTAAACGATAATAATTCGCTTCCCACACGCTAGGCTTTCGCTAAAGAGAAAGAAATTACAAATTATTACAGCGAGAGGGTGGAACAGAGGTAATAAAAGCGTAACATTACATTACTACCCGGAGCCAGGTAATTCCCCGCAAATGCAATGGTAAAACTTTGTTCGTTACACGGTTGCACGACATAATTATTATTTAGTTTAGTTCGTCGTAGTCAGTGTTACAACCTCGAACTTCTACCTATCGCTTTGAAGAATTAAAAGATACTTAATTTGTAAAATTTTGTGAATTGATTTGGATCGAATTAATCGTGTCAATTTATTTTCGTTAATAGGAATTATATACATATACTCAAGACAAATGTCTGTTGGTGTGTAAATCACACGACTTTCTTCTAGTGAAATAATGACTGACTGATTATTTAAATTAGTATATTTTTAATGAACGGCAAAACTGTAGGTTTGGTACAATTGGTTTTGAAACATTCACTTCATGTCTGAATGTTGGCATGACCACGACAAAATTCAGACATGAAGTGAATGACGTTTAATTTAATCATTATACAATTAATAAAAAAAAATACATACACAAAAGAAGGATTTTTTAAATCAATTATACAAACAAATAGTTTAAAACAAAAGCAGAAGATAATTTCCAGATTGGTATTGGTATTTGGTTGTGGGCTCCGGTTTCCGCATTTAGATCAAGAATGGTCAACCAAGATCCTTCCAGAAGTCTCCTGGGGCGTTCACAGAGTTCTAGAAGCGATTTTGTATCAGGTATGATACTTGACCGTTGTGCACTCCTTCGCATTCCTGAGGACTGTCTGTCGCATTAATGGTGAATAGTTGTCGGTTCAGGGCTAGGTGTCCAGTTATAGTTTCTACAACTATTGGAATGTATAGTTTGCTAAGACTGATCGGTCTGCAAGTGAGTCGTGG